ATTATTTTTTAATGTTATAATTCTTTAAAGTTGAAAATGTTCATACAGAGGTTTTCTACTGAAACTTTTAAGCCAAAAGGCAAGTTTTCTAATATTTTTATTGGCTTCATTTGTTACATACGTGTTTTTTATGTTAAAAAAAAAAATAAAAAATTTACAATAAAAATTTGTCTCGTATTGTTTGTTTATTTCAATGTGTTAATATGAGCTTAGTTGAATACTGACTGCATACAACAGAGGAGTAAAAGAGTTGAATTCGTAATTCTATTTAGTTGAGTATGGTAATTTATATTCCATGTTTGTTATTTTGTTATAGAACGACATATGAATGTGTTGTCTATTATAATTTGTTGTAATAAAAAAAAAATTAAAAGAAGTAAATAATAAATTGGCAATAACAACAATTAATGATGTTAAAGCTATATCAAAAAGTGGGTAAATAATGAGATCATTCTTAATGTCCGACTTAGTTCCTTTTGTAAATGTCGGACCTTTTTTTGCTTTTTTTAATCTTTTGGAATCTTTTGGAAGAGAACAAGAAATAATAATGTAAATGCAAGAACTATTTCAAAAAAACGCAACAAATTTGCAACAACAACAATGGTGTTTTCTTGTGTATTATAGGAGTTTATATGTATAAAATTAATTTAAGTGGATTGTGTAAAATTTAAACTATCCATTGCATTACTCAAAATTGAAAATTTAAAAAATTCATTATTGATTTATGGTACAGTATAGCTGTACACGGTTAAGTAAGGAAATAATAAGTTCACTTAGTAATGAGAACCGTGTCAATGGCCGATTTAATTAATTAAATGATGTTAAGGCTTTTTATGGTTTTTTCTCATTAAAAAACAAAAGTACCAACAATAAAGTACATTTAAATGTTACAATGAATTTAATTTTTATTTTGTTAACAGGTCAACAACGCTTGATAAAATTGATTAATTAATTTTTTATTCAAAATGTATTCAATGTACTTGAAGACAAATTCAATGTATGATTTAATCACTTTATAATATTAATATAAAAATAATAGTAAGTAAATGAGTTTGGTAAATTTTAACTTCATTTTTTTCTTGCTTTCAAAGTACTCACACAGGCATAAAATTATCATTATAATATATTAAATTAATGATTATATTGATAAAGTATTATAAAAATATAATAAACAAATGTCAGGAAAAATAACGTATATCATTGACCAAATTTTTATTATTATATTTATATCAGTTAACTACATAAAAATTATTAAAAATTATTAAAAATTATTAAAGTTTATTAAAATTATTAAAAATTTATTAAAATACTTAAAATTTTGGTAAAAGTTCTGATGAAACCGAACCATTATTTCTAATCAAAACTTATATATACGAGCATATAATATATGAAATATGGTGAATTTATTTATTAATGAAACACTTAAATTGGAATTAGTTTAAAATTTTAACATACTTATCATGCGGATTTAGAAATATTCTTTTCGTATCTCAAAGGTTACAAATATCTGGTAAGTTTAAATCAAAAACTTTTTTTCAAAGCTACAATATTTTTTATAAAATCTTAGTTAGTTATCAGTTTTGATTTATACAAAAAACAACAAAAAAAAAACGTCATAAAAAAATAAAAAAAAAATGTCACACAAAAAATAAAAGAAACTGTCACAGGAAAAATAAAGAAGAAAATGTCACAAAAAACAACAAAAAAAAAAAACGTCACAAAAAACAACAAAAAAAAAAACGTCACAAAAAACAACAAAAAAAAAAACGTCACAAAAACCAACAAAAAAAAACGTCACAAAAAACAACAAAAGAAAACGTCACAAAAAACAAAAAGAAAAGTAGACAAGATATTGATTCTGACATTTGTGCCGAGACATAGCCCGGTTCTTAGGCCAAAATTTGAACCGCCATATAATTTTCTCTCTCACTCTGAATTTGCATTGAAAAGAGCAACAATTTTACTAATGCCCTACCCAAGTCAGTCGACATAACATGCCCCTTACATCCAAAATTTCATTCTCTTTCAAGGAATGGAAATGAAAACATCGTTTGAATGCAGGCATGGTTTTATTTTGCAGTATATTTGCTTTTTTTTCTGGGGCAGTCTTTGTTGATTATGAAAAGGCGATCGTTTCAATCAAGATAGAGACGATCTAGCTAGCGCGACACAACCATGGCCTCACGCAAACGACGCATAACGGCCAAATAATACTCCTTATTGACCGTTTGACCATCCGTAATTAATGGTCTCTCTCTTCCAATCGTATACTCGTGGTTGCGACACACACAAATCACCAAAGGCCCTTTTCAACATTTTCAACGTTTCGGCACACTTGAATCCATTTGCAACACAAAATTTGATGCACGCACATTGTTCTAATTTTTGATCCAATATAAAAATCGCCACATGAAAATTTTTCGACTTCTCTGCCACATGCAATTACCAGGTGTACATTTATGAAATGAGCGTTTTTTGGTGAAAATAAAACACTAATTATTAATAGGAAAGTAAAAAAAAAACATTTTATTCAAAGTATTGGCCATTGCTTTCTACACATTTTGACCACCTTTCTGGCAATTTGTGGATACCACGCCAAAAAAAAAATTGTTCTTCTTTTAAAGCAAACCAACCAGACACCCAATTTTCTACCTCCTCGTAGGAATCAAAGTGCTGCTCAGCCAATGCGTGTCCTATCGATGAAAACAAATGGTAGTCGGAAGGAGCCAAGTCTGGTGAATACGGCGGGTGGGGTAGCAGCTCCCAGCCAAGTGTTCTTCATTTCTCACATCAAAATCATTATTTCTGAACGGTTGAAACCATTTTTTGCATGTTGCTTCTGATAGAGCATAATCACCATATGCCTCGACAAGCATTCGATGCGACTCTGCACCATTTTTCTTCAAATGAAAACAAAAAATTAATGTTTTCCGCAAATCATCACTTTCTGGTACAAAATTCGACATTTTTAACACGATGAAAAAATATGATGTCTGTTCAATGACTTGATGTATACTAAATATATTTCACACATGTCATAGCAAACAAACAAAAAGAAATAAAGGCTCGTTCACAACAAATATTCCCTGTCGGAACATTTGTATCTTTACGCTCGCTTCATAAATGTACACCTGGTATTTAGCAATCAATGCCTGCGCAACATATTAGGGATATGATGGTATAGAACGATTTCAAATGAAGAGTTATGGAGAATAACGCACCAAACAAACGTAAACAACGAGATAAGAAGAAAGAAGTATGGTTGGATTCGACACACATTGCGTAAGCCTTATATCGCGCATACTGCACTTAGTTGGAACCCCCAGGGGACTAGGCGCAGAAGCAGACCAACAATGACCTGAAGAAGGACAGTTCAGCAGGAGACGGGCAAATCGTTTAACGAATTGAGAGCAATAGCCCAAAATAGAAACCATAGGAAAACTTTTGTAGAGTCCTTCAGCTCCTAATGGAGTATAGAAATAATATATAATAATATAATATTACACTTCATACTTAGTGCTACATCTTGGTGTGTTGAAATGGAAATTCGTGTCAAGTCTCATGTGTAATAGCAATATTTGCTATAATCAGACATGACGAGCAGACAGATGGAAATCAAAATATTTCGATTTTGAATATTTTTGTCTGCTTACATGCAAAATTTCATACTATTTTAAAAGATAGAAGCGAAAACGCATGATTTTATTTTGTATTATATTTGTTTTTTTTTTTGTTTTTGCTGAGAAGTGTTCAAAATAATGTCGGCAGTGTATGATGTGTAATACCTGCTTAATGCTAATATTACTTAATTAGATATATTATTAGTGTATTTTCATTCTGATATTAGGGATACTCATCTAAACTGATAAATGCCTTATAAACCTTGTAAACGTATAAATTTATCTGCTTGGTAAATGAAGTGTTAAATTTTGTATAAAAAATAGTTTACACAAACTTGATAAATTTACACGAATATTTTATCGAATAAATTTATATAAATTACTAATATTACAAATGTATTAGGAATTTTTTTAGTGTATTTTCATTCTGATATTAGGAGTACTCATCTAAACTGATAAATGCTTTATAAACCTTATAAACATATAAATCAATCTACTTGATTAATGAAGTGTCAAATTTTGTATAAAAAATAGTTCACACAAACTTGATAAATTTAAACGAAAAATTTTACCGAATAAATTTATATTGTATAAATAATAAAAAATAAAAATAATAAAAAAATATTTTATTTTATAATTTATTGATAGCGACACCACAGCTGATCAATAAAATTTACACAAATATTTAATTGCATCGATATTGGCCAAAAAAATTGCACTGCTGAGCATTGAATTTTGTGCTGTCACAATTATTGCTGATATAAATAGTGCTAATATGCAGCAGATTGATAAATTTACACAAATATTTCACTAAGTGCGTTAATATGGCCGTGTACGTAAACGTATAAAATTATACATTTGATAAATTTATATGCTTAAATGAGTACCCCTATTGTGCATTTATAAAATCATTGATTCTTATTACGAATTTGAATAATTTAAGTTTTGCATTTATAGAGGATATAATCACCCAAATACGAAAAGAGTTATTCCTTAAGTCATTATCTATTACTAACATAAATTTTTAAAAAATACATATTTTTAAGATAATACAATTTACGAAAATGCAATGTTTTTTCCTATTTCAATTAATATTTTGTTTGATTTTTTTTTCTGTTTTATATTAGTTTGCAATTTTTTTTTAATTTTAAGTTTTTTTTTTTAACATGTTAAATAAAAAATTATTACTACGTGCTAATGCACATATAATTGAGTACATTTGACATTGCATGGAAAACAAACACGGACAGACAATTTTCGGTAAAATTCGTAAAAAAGAGACCAAGTATATTAACTTTCAAAAGATTGAAGATGATTGCATAGTTTCTTCGTTAATTCTTATTTTTTGCTTAATTTTTGTCGTATAATTAAAATACTCACTTTGTTTAGTTGTACTGCTGCGATTTCTAAAATATGTAACTGCTTAATATTATTATGTTTATAACTAAATGCTTAACATTAGCTGAATATTTTACTGTTATGAACCATAGGATAGTGGCTTTAAAATTTGTATTGTAGATGTATTTCTTGCTGTAATTTTTTCTAATTTTTTTTTAAGTTGTTTGTTGTATTCGTATACAAAATTATTTTAAAAAATGCTTAATCATCGATGGTATATTCTGGCATTTTTTCATATTTTAACTTGGTTGCTTCATGCTCTGTATTCACGAGCAACACTGTATGCGAATAGCCCATGGAAACTTGAGGAATTTTCATATTATCCATTTTGGGCACTTCCTTAGGAACTGTGGAAGACTTTTGAAACTCTCCAATGCCCAATTCACCATAAGTGGGTGAAGCACCCCAAGCAATTAAAGTGTCGTCAGCGGATATCATAATTGAAGTATTAGCACAGCCAATATCTGTTATATTCCAACCTATAAATAAATTATTTTTATAAATGTTAACAATACAATGCTTATATTTTTTTTTGTTAATTCAAAACATACCTGACAGATCTTGAACTGGCTTGGGATACATATTTGCCTCTCCGGTTTTCTTATTTTGTCCAAACAAGAAAAGAATTCCAAATTCATTAACAATTAAACTGAATGTAGATCCACAATAAACATTACGTGCACCACGTCCATGTATGTCAAAAAATTTAATAAGACGTGGCACCATTTCATCTTTTGGTTCGGCGTGACCTAAACGACCAAACCCACCGAAGCCCCAACTATAAACCCTTTTCTTCGAATCAATCGCGACCTTTGAAAAATAAAAGCGATTTAAAATTTAATTTATAATGATAGGACTAATAACAAATAATTATAAATATTATTTAATTCTCTACTCAAAAAAACAAAAAACGAACTTTACTTATAATAAAATATAAAAAAATTTTAATAGAAAAAAACGAACTGGTTTCAAATAATACTAATAACAATATATAAATATGATTAAATAGAAGAAAGAAAACAGATTTGAAAGATATATATATGAACAGCAAAAAGCCTAAAGGATATATATATAAATAGAAATAAAAACGTGAGAGGTATATGTAAATAGAAAAATAAAGCTTAAAAGATTATATACATAGAGAAAAAGGGCTTGAGATATATTTATATATAAATGAAAAAAAGAGCTTGAGATATATAAATAAATAAAAAGAAAACGATTGTCTTTAAACTGCTGGAAAGTAATAAATTTCAGCTCTTTCTATACTTCACAAGGTAATTACAAGGTAATTGATAAGACTCATGTGAAGCCTGGATATAGTCATGTACTAAACAGTTACTTGTCATGCATAAATGCATCAATTCCATATTGAACATTTTGAGGTGTCTTTTCAGGTCTTTCTCAATCGCAATTATAAAATAAATGAACACATTTTTCGATCAAAAAAAAAAATATTATAGTTTTTTAGATTTCCCAGAGGAGATTTTTGAATATCCGTAACATATGTATGTATGTGTCAATAAAAGCACATAAATAGACAAATACCATTCACTATCTACTTTTACCAGGTTTAAGTTTCAAAACTCCTCATCAACACAGACAATTAAGCTTCGCTCATCATACCCATCATGGGCCTAATAGAAAGCAGTGTTTGTTTTATATTTGCTTCACCCAATTCTTTAACACTTCCCTATGCGTCACTTATTCCTATATTGCCTGTCCCATCCACCTAATTCTCCCGTTATAGTCTAATAATTCATTCATGTTTCTGTTTAATCAATCTATGAAGCAGACTACAATAAAGAAAACGTATCTGCAGCACATTTTTATCTGGGTTTTAAATAATCATCGTACTTAATTGGGGATTGTTGGAGATACAGTTATTAAATGGAACTGTTCTTTGCTTGTATGGTTTTATATATGTATATGAATTCTAAGGTATCACTAATTGCAATATTCACTGAATAGGCAGACATGCACCATGTCTAATAGAGATAAACAAAAATAAATAAATTGATTTGACTCAAATCAATTATTTATCTATGAGAGCAGTCCGAAAGAACTGATCTTAACTAATTATAATGAACATTATTTTAATTAATATTTACAATGAACTTAACTCCCTCGAATGAAATTTTTTTCAAAGGAAACCAATTTTGCATAGGTAAGAAGTAACACGGTTCCCTACATATTTGTAGCTATTTTGTAACATATACCAATAACTAATTCTTAATTATAATATGTGTGGGCGTTATATTTTCACTTACCGTGTGATTATTACCACAAGCGAAATCTACAATTTGCACATTATCGACTGGAGTAACGTGTCCTTCTTTAGTTTTTTGAATGTACAGAACAACTTTTTTAGGGGAAGTCTCAAAATGAAACGACAATTTATTTGCGTTAACGAAATACTTTGCATCTGTATTGTGGCCCAATTGACCATATTCGGGTAAACCGAATGTATGTAAGTTTCCTTTAATATCCAATATAACGGAAAATTCAGCTCCACAACCAACACGTATAATGGGTGAGCCACGATAATTGATGAGTGTTGGTACATTTATAGTAGGTTGTGTATTACCTACACCACATTGTCCACTTTTGTTATCACCACATGCGTACACAGAGCCTGTATCAGTAAGGAAGAGCGTATGATGACGTCCACAGGCAGCCTGTACAACATTTACCTTCTGCAAGCCCGGTATTAATGTCGGTTTCTCACACAATTTCATATCTGGTAAACCCAATTGACCGCATGGGTTACGCCCAAATGCAATGGCTTTACGATCCATATTGATTAAAATTGTATGAGCTGATGTAGGACCACTTGCACAGTGACGATACTGTAAAACAAAATTATTTTCCGTTAAAAAAAATTATAGTTATTTTAGTAGAATAAAAAATAATATATAAAAAAATTAAAATATATGTTCTTGACGTAATTTCAATCATTTAAATTCTGTTTATTAATGTTTAGACTAAATTTATTATACTTTACTCCTAATAAATTATATTGTGTGGAGTCTATTTATACATTTTTTAATATTTTATAAATTTTAAAAATAATTTAACTTAACCATTTTTCTTAAATCACAATAAAAACTTTAAAGTCTCAAATTGTTGATTCCTTTTCTTTGAATACTTCAGTTGGAAAGGAACAGTATCATCAAAAAATTAAAAATCCCCAATTCTTTAGTAAGATCCGACATATATTAGCACAAAATTCTTGAGAAAAAAATTTTTTTTCTTTGAGAAAATTGTTAATACATTTTCTCATAGAAAGATCTTTTAAAAATGTCAAAGGCAAGCTGAGAAAGTATTATATCAAGAGATACACAAATCAGTTTGAACACTGGAGTTCTGTCAATTTATCTTTTCAAAACATATCGGAACCAATTTGGTATTAATAAGTTTTTTCCCCACCAACGCTTCTATTCAATAGATGGAACTGACAAATTTGTGGGACACCACGTATTTTTAATGACGAATTTTGGATGAGCTTTTGGATGAAGACGAAACAGAGTTGAATCAAAGAACTTCTGTAAATGTAATAGAAAATCCTGGAAAATACAAACACTAATAATTTGTATTTAAAAGAAATTTAAAAGATGCAGTGTTTCCGCTTCAATATAAAATATTTTATAATTGTTATTTACGCGTCTTTCATTGTTGTACCCAATTTTATATTTACTTTATTATATATAACATATCTATTTTTCATATTTGTTATTTATTATTATTATTTTATTATTATCTATCATTACTATAATTTTATTATTATTTTTATATTACTGTTATTATTTAATAATTATTATTATTTAATAATTACTATTATTTAATAACGACTATTATTTAATAATTACTATATCAAGTCTATTTTTCATATTTGTTACTTATTATTATTACTTTATTATTATCTATCATTACTATAATTTTATTATTATTTTTATATAATTGTGATTATTTAGTAATTATTATTATTTAATAATTACTATTATTTAATAACGACACTATTATTTAAAAATTACTATATCATATCTATTATTCATATTTGTTACTTATTATTATTATTTTATTATTATCTATCATTACTATAATTTTATTATTATTTTATTATTATCTATCATTACTATAATTTTATTATTACTTTATTATTATCTATCATTACTATAATTTTATTATTATTTTTATATAATTGTGATTATTTAGTAATTATTATTATTTAATAATTACTATTATTTAATAACGACTATTATTTAATAATTACTATATCATATCTATTTTTCATATTTGTTACTTATTATTATTATTTTATTATTATCTATCATTACTATAATTTTATTATTATTTTTATATAATTGTGATTATTTAGTAATTATTATTATTTAATAATTACTATTATTTAATAACGACTATTATTTAATAATTACTATTATTTAATAATAATTATTATTTTATTATTACTAATATTTTATTATTATTATTATTTTATTATTATTACTTTATTATTATTATTTTATTATTAATATTTTATTATTGTAATTTCATTATTATTATTATTATTATTTTTATTATTATCACTATTCCACCAATTCTTCGAAACAGTTAAGTCTTTGTTTGTAGAGAGATGGACATTATTAACATGTTTTATATTTCATAATTTGTCGCTCTCATATTAATAACTTCTACAAAAAAAAAATCTTTAATGGGGACATATACGCCAATGTAGTGGATATCAAACAACATCTATAATTTCGGACGTAAGCAAATAATATTACATCATGATTAAACACTACACCATGGTTAAACAATACATAATGATTAAACACCACACTCTAAAGGTTAAACACTATACTGTAATGGTTAAACCCTAAGCTATTATTAAATACTACACCATGGTTAAACATTACACCATAGTTAAACACTACTCCATGGTTAAACACTACACCATGTTGAGACTTTTGTAGCATATTTTTGCCTAGAATTGACTTGGTATATGACAGATTTGTTTATCTGTTTGTTTTATCTGCTTAATGTATCAGCGACGTATTTAGTGCCCTAATGATTTTGGTATAAATAACTTTTCTAACAATAACAAATAGAAATCAAAATATAAATATAAAGGAACTTCTTAAAACATATTTATGGTAGCTTGAATTTGCGGTTTCATTTTTGCTTCCCTTTTAAATTCTCATCTGCTATGATGTAGAGACATACAGAAAAGAAAGATTTTCTCCGCAACAAGCAGTCTGGGCAATCTGATACGCGTTTAGGACATAAGACCTCGACCTCTGTCAATTAGTAAACGTTGTAAATATTGTAAATAATGAAATTAGGTTAAGGTATTGTTTGTAGTATTAATGTAGCCGTAAATAATTATAGGTAAAAAATAACATAATTCCTTCTTTTTTTTTTGGAGAAATAGTAATATATATCTATCATAAAATAATATATATCTTAAAGTAAAATAGGCTTTAGTTAGTCTATAAAAAATGTAATGTAAATAATAAAATTAACATCTAGATAAGTAATTTGTACGCTAGGTATAAATAGATCCTAAGACAAAAGAAATTTTTTTATTGTAAATAATCTAATCTAATGTAATTAATCCTACAACAAACAAATAAAATCAGCAAAAAAAAAAAAAAAGAATTCGCAATAAGCAAACAAAAACGTTTTAGAGTGTGAGTTGTTGTTGTAGCCTGCCGGGATCTGAAAGCAAATAACATACAAGGATTGCAAGACGAATACATGAGTAAGGGAGTGATTAGAGTTAATTAGAGTTAAGGGGATAATAGAAAGGGAATAATGGATATAATTGAAATTAACCGGGGTCCAGTCATAGAAACCTAGCTACCTCAGTTCCAAGAGTGGCCGGGTCTACGTCTCAGAACCACTCGTCAAAGACGACTAAGTGCCGTTTAACATTAGTAAAGGGACCGCACAAGTGTGAACGTCGTTCCCTTTAGTATATTCACTTTTTTAAATAAAATAATTAATTAATAATTATTGTTTATAAACAACATATAATTTAATTCAAAAAAATTAATTAATACAATTTAATTTTTAGTAACTTTGAATACATTGGACTGTTAAATAAATGGTTGGCCTACTAATCAAAAACCCCACTTAACTGTACAACGTTGCCAATCTTTAGTTATTACTTTTCATGGTAACTACTTTCTCTTTAACGGACACTTCTCTTAAGCAGACAGAATTGCAGATTGAATTAAAGTGTCCGCTTAATAAATCTTCCACTGTAAGTTTCTGAAAGATGTTTTAGAGACATCTAAATTCGAAATAGATTATCGGTGTAGCCCAAGACGCCACTTAACTGTACAACATTGCCAATCTTTAGTTATTACTTTTCATGGTAACTACTTTCTCTTTAACGGACACTTCTCTTAAGCAGACAGAATTGCAGATTGAATTAGTGTCCGCTTAATAAATCTTCCACTATAAGTTTCTGAAAGATGTTTTAGAGACATCTAAATTCAAAATAGATTATCGGTGTAGCCCAAGACCCCACTTAACTGTACAACATTGCCAATCTTTAATTATTACTTTTCATGGTAAATACTTTCTCTTTAACGGACACTTCTCTTAAGCAGACAGAATTGCAGATTCCATCAGTGTCCGCTTAATAAATCTTCCACTGTAAGTTTCTGAAAGATGTTTTAGAGACATCTAAATTCAAAATAGATTATCGGTGTAGCCCAAGACCCCACTTAACTGTACAACATTGCCAATCTTTAATTATTACTTTTCATGGTAAATACTTTCTCTTTAACGGACACTTCTCTTAAGCAGACAGAATTGCAGATTCCATCAGTGTCCGCTTAATAAATCTTCCACTGTAAGTTTCTGAAAGATGTTTTAGAGACATCTAAATTCAAAATAGATTAACTGTCTAGATCGTTAAACAATACACGTACTTTTCATAAACACTTTTTTTTATAAAATTATGTGAATGCAACAAAAACAAAATCAAATTTTTTTTTATAATTACCATTTCGTCCGTAAAGCGATGAAAATTGAACAGATTTGGACGAACTTTAACAACATTTTTTCGATCACGTTTACCGGTCAGATCCCATGTGACCATTCCTGCAATGAGCAATTGACCTGGTGCCTTATCCATTGTGGCTAATAAATCTTCTGGCAGTTTACTGGGTGGATCCAATTCGTCATGTTGGATGAGAACTTCTACTTGATTGGTAGACGCTTTTGCTTCATCTCCTGAATCCTCGCTAACATCATCCTCATAATCGGATTCCTTTTTCTTTGGGCGACGCTTGCTCGGGCCATTGCCGTTTCCACCTGCTTTGCGCTTTGCTGACATTTTTATTTCTTACTGCAAAAACAAAAAACACAATTTTTGTATTTCGTTTCGTATATTTGTATTTAAGAGGATGAGGATGAAGATGGCGATTTGTTACAAAAATGTTTAAATAAAATTTTGTATACAAAATAATTTAACTAAATCTAAAAAAAAAATAAATAAATGAATTCTTTTAATAAAACTGCACTGCAAAGTACTAAACTGATAAACTCTCTAATGCTGTTGCTCCAAATTAATCTCTTTGCATTGTTAGTTAGCAACTTCAATTACAGCTTCATAAACAGTAAGAAGTAGAATAATAACAACAACAAGAAGAAGAACGACGGCAACACAATATATTTTCAAACACAACAAAAGGTCAAATGAGAAATACATAGAACCGAAATAAAAAAAAAAAAAATAAATTAAAATAAAATGCAGAAGAAAAAAAGTAACAAACGAACCAAACACTCACCACTCACCAGTAACGGCTGATGAGCTGTTGTTGGGTGAATAGGGAATCCAGGTATAAGGGGTTTGTATGAGTGGTTCTACAAGAAAACAAAATGAACGCCACTACTAACAAGAAAAATTTCTGCTGTCGCCGCTGCTTGCTTGCTATTTGTTAATCTTCACGACGCCAACGTTAACCGTAGCCGTTCAAAAAAAAATGTCACCTGCATTTCATTTATTTAAACAAACAATCATTGAACCATTTAATAAAGAAAGTAATAAAAAACTATCACTTGCATATATGCCGCTAAATCGAAAATTTAAAATGCAATTTCAAATGTATAACGCATTACAAAGTCATACAGATGCGACGCCATACGCACAAACGACGACTGACGCTACCACACCACCAACAACAACAACAAAGAAAAACAAAGAACTAAGAAGTTCATTTTTTTAATACAATTCATTTTTACAATTATTAACCAATCAAATACCTGTTCACACTTTAGAAAACTTCAACTAAAAATAACTTACAATTTATTTAGAATTTTAGCGGCTTTTTCGTAAGGAATTTGCAAACAAAACGACACAATACACTCTCTTCTGCCCCTGACGCACAACACTGTGACAATGTTTTTTCAGAATTGTACCACAGATTGGCATTTTGCCTATGTTACACTTACACTCGTAATATTCAATATTTGAGTAATAGTTCAATTCTTGTGTTATAATACTGCCAAATACGACAATTTAAAAATTTATTTTATGTTACTTATTTATGATATTAAATGTACGCAAAATTTTTATATTACTTTTAAATTCCTTAAACATGTTTAATTTTATATATCTGCCTAAATTTTTAAACATATTATTATTCAACATATTAGATATATGCAAAATATTTATATATCTTTTGAATTCTTTAAACATATTTTACTTTATATATCTGTTTAATTTTTTATACATATTTTGTTTATTTTATATTTCTATTCAATTTTTCATACATTTATATATTTATTTATTTTTTATTTATATTGTTTTGCAAATAAAATATGTTTTTTAAGACTTATTTAAACCATTATGTATTATTTAACACTGACCAATTAGTCTGTTCAAAAATACATAAATAAAATTATAGAAATTATATATATAATTTAATAATTAATAAAATAATTAGATATTATATAATTTATATATATATATAATTTAAAGACTTATTTAAAATATTATGTATATAATATAATAATTAATTTAATAATTACATATTATAGAAATTATATAAATATATAAATAAAATTTAAAAACTTATTTAAAGCATTATGTTTTATTCAACATTGACCAATTAATCCATTCAAAAATATATAAATAAAATTATATATATAATTCAATACTTAATTTAATAATTATATATTAAATAAATTATGTAAGTATATAAATAAAATTTAAAGACTTATTTAAAGCATTATGTTTTATTCAACATTGACCAATTAGTCTGTTCAAATATATATATAAATAAAATTTGGCAGTTGTTTAATACTCGAATAAAAATCTATAAAATATATAGAAAATGTTAACAAAAACTTAGTGTTACTTTCCCAACTCTGCTACCTACAAATCTTCTAACACCGAGCGTTTGGATCTCTTTTTATTATCTCCAGTGCGAAGATACTGTATCAAGTGTCATAATCTTCTTTCTGATATTATTCACTTAACTTAAATTCTCATCGACTTACGTAATTATATGAGCTACAAGCCCCCACAGATTCTAGCCCATTATCTGGAGATAGTCCACGTATCTCCTATAATCTCACTTTATGATTGCGATTACAACAACCTATTGCACAAAGTTTACTATTAGTGTATAATGAGTACCTAGTAAGAACATCCTTCTTTTTTCTCCTCAAACATTATCGAAAAACTATATTAGTCGTGTAATTAAAAAAATAACCGAAGTTTTGTTTTTATTTGTATTTTAACCTATTTCTGTAAAAAATATCAAAAATGGTTATTAATGCGAATTTTTGCTATTGAAGATATAATGTGTATAATATCAATATTAGTTTCGAAACCACAAAGAAATCGTATTTTTTTCTTTTGAATTACAAAACAAGTACTGAACTTTTATTAACATATTCCGCAGATATTAAACAAATACCATTACAAAATATATTAACATAAATCTAATATAAATATAAATATATACTCCATATATCTAAAATGAGAATTAAATTTTAAACACCTTTTGAATATTTGCAGGTAAAAAATATTTGATTACCATAAACCACAATCAGAACATTAATTTCATTTTGTGTAATTGCACAATAAAATTAAAGCATACCATACTCAATTACAAATATCACCCCATACTTCGACTTCCAATCAACTATTAATTTTTTTGTGATAATATTTATATAAGCATCATATGTTGTTTTAATATTATTTTAACATATTTTAAAAATTTAAAAAAATTAATATATTATATCCTTGTCAATGAAAACACAAACAACGCGAGACAATACACAACACCATGACGATTTTCGGTAACAACACTCTTTTTTTTAAACTATTTTATTTGTTAGTTTGAATACGTATTTCCATTATTTTTATGTACTAAAAACCTTAGACTAGGGCCGTACTGTACCGAGTTAACACTTATCGAACTAATAGATATTTGAGGTGTACTATTAATTGCAATTCATATGATTTAATTAGAAAAATATTCAAGCTGTACTGTTAATTAGAATACTAACAACTATTAATGCCATGCAGTTATTATTGCAATACTAGATTTATTTCTATTAAAACGCAGGGTTGTATTTTATTTTGGACTAAAAGTATGCTATGATATAATTAAAGAGCATATTAAAAATTTAGAATAAAATTTTTAATTGAATTTGTCATATTTTTGAAAGAGCAGAATTAGTTTATAAATTAAATGTTTTTTTTTAAACAATTAGGTCTGCCAAAGCACTATAATTTGACACTACGATCTAATCAATTACACTTTATTTTATTAAAGTACTAAATAAAATGTAGTTCAACAACATCGTTCGCGTGTCTTCTGTAATCCCACTCTACAATCGTGGTTACAACAATCTATTGCACAATTTACTCTTAGGTCGTGTGCGAGTTAGGCTAAGTTGCGTTCTAAATGAGGGAAATTCTAAGTTGTCCTGATAATGTAGTGATGTGTCAATACGTGCCGATAAATGGCTAAATGTGTGCAGTGCAAAAAATCCCAAAAAATCTTCCATTTGGTTTAGCATCAACTTAGCCTAACTCGTATATCCATAATATGGAAACGTAATACAGAGAAAACCATGCTAAAAATCGGTTTTATTTTGTTTTATATATTGATTTCGCAAGAGTGTTTAAAAGTAGTGAATATCATTGATCAAGATGATGTAACCATTAAAAATCGCCAAAGCAAAATTTGCTGCTGGGAAATTTTATTTCACTTTTGCAGGAACGGCATCGGACGAGAACAAAGAACACCTTGCCATATAATCAAAGAATGCTGATATTGACATATCGTATAAAATGGATTCGTACCCAGTAGTAAAATTAAGAAGCACTGTTTAAATTTAAATTTATTTATTTTAGATAATGTTTTTTTTTAATTCCAATTCCATTTGCATGTGTATGATGACTAAACTTCCAATTAATTATTAACCAAAAAATTATTTAAAATTATTTATCGCAAATTTTTGGGTTTGTTGATGCAGATTTTCAATATATGTACCTATATCTATGAATTTATGTTTGTTGTTGATATTGTTCAGCTATTTTCATAGATTTATAGGCTCATCACTGGTTTAAATGTAGGTGCAAATAAAAAAGTTTTCTAAATTCATAAAACGTGCTACTTACCTATGACCTATTCTTTAACATTGATAAACAAATGCCATTTACTTTAACCAACGGAAATTTTATTGTTGGTGAAAGCTCATATTCTCCACGGGACTGGTTAATGGTACTTATTCATTGGTATAGAACAGTACTTTAAGCCTATGGAGTAATGTTTATTTAAAAAAGTTACACTCACCAGAACGCGTCTACTCCACGAATCTGCCCACTAGCTGTCACATTGACAGACGAGTACCACCCGCTTTAACCCTAGGTCGTTTTATTATTGTTCAAATCTCGAATTCTGAGCAAAAATAATGAACAGCGCTTATAGAGAACGCGTCAACTCCAGGAATCGGTCCATGAGGTATTCTTTTACTTTGATTAACAAGGGTCACTTACTTTACTATTGGAAGTTTTGTTATTATTAAAAGCTTGAAATTTTAGCGAAAATTATATACATTGCGTGTTCTTTGACCAGTGCATCGGAGCTATTCGTTAATATTGTTTACGACAAAATACTATTCACCACAACCAATACGAATTCCCGCCAGCTTCTGGAACCTGTCATTAACTATTCGTTAACATTGATAAACAAGTGCGACTCACTTCAACCAAAGGAAATTTTATTTTTATTAAAAGCTCGAATTCTCAATAGGATTAGCTAGCGGTAATCGTTCGTTGATATTGACTAGTGTTCCGGTACACGAAATAGACTTCTTCTAGAACTGATGTGTTGATAACCAATTAATTAAAATAATAACAATGCAATTTTAACTAAAAATAAGAAATTCAAATGTTAATTATATTAACAATTTATTTTATACCTAATTTAATATTTTCTTCTTGATATGTTGGCTTTTTTCTTTATCTTCCTTTTGGTCCAGGCTAATAGAACACTATTATTGAACTGGTATTATTAAAGAACGTTATTATTTTACCATAAGGTGAGCGGAGCTTCCACACGTAAACTTGATCGGTCAATCTTTTATAAATAATAGTAACTTAAAATTTATTGCGTTTTAAATATAATTAATTGAATTTTCAGGAAATTTTTTTAGAAATTTAATGGGTAATATTACTACTTAAATATAAACAATCTTAAAAGCTTAATTCATTATCTTTAAAACGCAACAAATTTCAAGTTTCTATCATGTATATAGCCTAAGAAAATGTGTTTACAATGCCAATTCTCAAAACCTCATAGGTAAATATCTCCTAGGATACGGGTCTTCTTATTTTATGCGAAACTTTTTATAAGAAGCTCATAAAAAAAGTTTCAGTCAAATCGGAGATGATGTGATCAAAAAGGTATCCAATTTATAGAAGATTGATCTATATTCATCTATGCATAACACGTTACCTTTAACCATTTTATTTAACCTGTACTCTCAATTTTATGTGTAATATACCCAATCTCGAGTAATGAACTCGGGAATAGTACATTACGGCAACAATAATAAAAAAACATATATTCAGTCACCAAACTCAGTACTCGGGAATATGCTTACCACTAACATATATATATATATATATATGTAATATATATAGTAAATAAGATATTTAAGTGAAATACTGGAAGTAGTGTGTTATAATTTCTTTTTATTTATATTTAAATTATTTCCGTTATTTTTGTATTTATTATTTTTTTGTATTGTTAAAATAATTACTGCAAAATTAAAACTAATTAATGTGGTCTTCGAGTGTGGTAATGCAATGCAATAAGTAATATCTGCATCTATTATGTCTTATTTATATCGCGTTGAGGACTTTGAACACATTTACAAACATTTAAGGCAAACAATATATGTAACATATATAGATCTCTTTGATTCGTTTGTTTTTTGTTTTTTGTTATTTGTTTTTAACTTTAAATATAATATATATAGTGATATATATAAATATAACATTTCAGAGCTTAAGTTAAGTGCGCCTACTTTAAAACTTAATAATAATACATCACAATTGGATAAGCGGCTTCAGTTTCAGTTCTTTTTGTGACTGATATTCGGTAATGTCCTTCATGACGATTTTCCGAAATTTCTCATGTAATAGCTCGAAATTGGCGTTGTTGTTGTTGTTGTAATTGCGTGGATCGGCGTTACCAATTGCAATTGCAGACTGAGAATTGCTTAATACTGTGGCTGCTTTGGCAACATTTGGTTTTGTGTATTGTGTGAAGCTTGTGACGGCTTCACCGGAACTTGTCTTGGCACTTGTAAAATGTTGATCATGTAACTGATTTTGCTGCTGCTGTTGTTGTTGTTGTTGTGGTTGATTATTGATATAGAACTCACTTCTAATGCTAGAAGCTGTGGGTAAGCCTCTTGGTGGCGGTATGGGACTTGTCTCAACTCCTGCAATTTGAAATGATTTGTATCCAGTTACTGGGAATATACAACAAAATTGTTCTAACGCTATTTGTTGCCACATTTTTTGTTTTTTTTTTTATTTTTTTCTATATCATGTCTTTCAAAATTATTAAAAATATTACTTATATTTTTTTTGTTTTGTAATTTTTACAAAAAGATTTTTTTCGTTATATCGTGTTTTTTTTTTTTTGTTTAATTGCAATTTGGTCTCAGAATTTGCACTCGTGCTTTTTAGAATTAACGGATTCTCCTGTCATTTTTAATAAACTGAGATGTTCCATTCTTCAGACTATTTACAAAAATTATGAAACAAAAGTGCAAGTTATCATTTTATTTATAATTTATATTTAATAAAAAAATTTTTTTCATTAGTAAAGTTGTTGTTATTGTTGTAGTAAGAAACAATAAACAAAAACAGAAAACAGAAAACAATAAAAATACTTGTGTATGTTTCATAATAATATTCCTTTAAGCTGTTAACATGCTAGAGTGCTTTTGTTTAATATACAGGGTGAGACTGCCAAACTGCAATGTTTCCATCATATGTTTTTTTTTTAATAACAAAAAATGTGCATTAACAACAATATTAAAAAAATTATATACAACAAGATAAGTCATAATAGTATATACACGTACATTTAATATATACATAATATATACATATACATATATATATATATATATTTATATATTATTAAAAAATAATATAATATATACATTCATATATTACTAAATATTTACATATATATATATTTACATATGCATATATATATTATTTATATATACAGATATATATTTATTTATATTAAATATTTTATATTTGTTTACATTTTTATAGAGATAGAAATATCAGAAAAACATTGTTATGGTTTTATTGAAAACTTATACGAACTTTTTTCTTTGACCGTATGAAATATGATAAGCAAGTAATGGAACTAGCAAAGTAATGATATATATACATATAAGCACCTATTCGTATTTATTATTTGTTTACAGTACTCTGTATCGTCGGTAGGTAGTAATGCGGTTAATATACATACATATAATTCATCTTTATATAGATTTAATTTGCCACAACAATATCTTAGGTAAGAAAATATGTCTGTGGCTTTTTTAGTTATATATAGGTCATAGATTATGATAGAAGAAATAGAACAATAAATAAAATTGGTTAGGTTGAAGACATATAGACTTTTCGAATGGAATCTTTAAATTAAATTCATTATAAACACTGAATACACTCGAGGAGCTAGGTAGCTGGGTTGATCTGGGTAGCTGAAGTAATAACAGAAAATTGCGGTTATAGTTCAACCTACTAAAACTACTTTGAAAAATATGACGGACTAGCTAGATAACACCGTACCAGAAAAAGTTTAGTTATAGTTCAACATTGTATATGCTTACTAATAACTTTTCTTAAACTAAATTCATTATAAATACAAAAAAATCTAGGTATAATGTATCAGTCTAGCTAAAAGAAGCAAAGTCATTTTAATTTTCAGTTATGATTGCTTGCAGTGATAGAAAGATACAGACTACATTCATTCCGTCTATCCATCCCTGGAGAGTTGCACATAACCTAAGTGTCTTCCATTTGTTATTGGTTAGCTAAAGAAAGTAGAGATAACTGCTTCTCTGAACGAACTCCAGGATAATATTAACCGAAACTCCTAGGGATATATCGAGAAAAGCACCAAAGCGGTCTGAGTTGTGTGCTTTCTAATTTCGTTCAATTTTCCTCATTTTTAGTTATAGTTTGGCTCTTTTAAAGTTTTCTGAACACACTACTTAACATATGTCAGTCAAGCTAGAAAAACCAATATGAAAAAAGTTTAATTATAGCTTAGAGGTTTTATAGACTTTGTAAAAGTATTCCTTAAACTTAAATTATTGTAAAGAATGAACACACTACTTAAAACTGATCGATTAAGATTTTCTAGAGCTAAAGTAATTTTAAAGACAAACAAATTAATTTATATATATATCATATTTTTTGTTGCTACAGCCTGAAGCCATTATATAAAACTTGTCGAATTTATTATATAAAGCAATATCTGGGCATTTTATTCATAGTTCAGCCTCTAATAAGCATTTTTTAAGTTCAATGAATTTTAAAGACTTAACGCACTACGTAAAATATGTCCGACTAGTTAGAAGGGACACTATCGGAAAAATTTTTTAGGTCAATCTCTTCAGGAACTTTTGAATAGAATATCTTAATCTATATTAATTCCAAGTACTTAATTAACTAAAGCTCAAGTAAAAATTTTAATTTTTACAGGCAAATTAATATAATTAATTATTTTTAAAATTGATTTCTGTTATAAAATGTCACATGTGTCTCCTCAACTCATATTATAGGCAAAAGTATTCCATTAAGGAGGCATGTAAGATACTAACTTGTCGTTGAAGATTGTTTTATTGTTTCTCGAAGTATACGCCTTTATGATTAATACATTTTTGCATGTGTGAACTATTTGTCACAGCATTTTTTCCAATCTTCTTCAGACACTTACAAAACATAGTTTTTAAATACAACATCGCCTACTTTCGCCGACAAAAATCGTTGTTCACACAAATTATTCTTGACGTTCGGGAACAAGAAGAAGTCATAGGATGCCAAATCAGGACTATACGACAGATGACTCATTAATTTGATTTTTTAAATGCTCAAATGTTGTTAGCCGAGATGTGTGAGCACTCGCATTGACTTGATAGAGAGGGAGATTAATCCGACGGCGCTTGTTTGTTTTACGTATTTTACTGAAGGTTACCAGTAAACAAATGTTTGTATGCTCGTATCATTCGAAATGAGTATGAGGGGTCCAATGAGAACAAATCTTTCTTACGTCCAAATGATCGTACAATATTTTCTATAAGCTGGTGGAATGGTGGAACTAATGCCTATGGTTCTATCTCAACCTCAATCTTACAGTATGTCGCATAACGATCTTACATTACGTGTATCAGACATTAATGAAGATACTATGAAGTGTGACCCTAAAGGATAAACACTGTGTGAAGGGTAATTTTTTTGACTGTTAAAAATTACAATTTACATCCATTACATATACCTAAAGTATTTATATTTTTATATGAAGTAGAAACATACATCGATGCCAAAATAATAAGGCAACCCTGAGTTCTTAAGAGAATCAATATCTTACGACTAATGCATTCGTATGAATTTTGAGTCGAATTAAAAATCATTTTTGATTTTCATTAAAAAAAATATTTTCCAAAAAAATTGAAAACAATTGGGTTTAATATGTCTATATAATATTGAAAATAAATGTAAGCTTATGCTAAAAAAATTACAGATAAATATAATTAATTAAAAGTAATTATAATATAATTTGCTTAAACAAATATTGACATAACAGATAGTATAGCGGACGGACAGACACTCGAAACAAATTCATAACATCAAGAAAAGTACAAATAAATATAAATCATTTTTATAATATAAAAACACCCTGTATAAATTCAGTTGATTAATGAAAAAATGATAATAATTTCTACTTTGTATTGCAATATAATCCAACGACTACTTCAGCACGTTTATATGACAATGAACACTGCTATTTCTTTACAGATAATCATTTAAGAATTACTTGAATAAAAATATCTGAAGGTTCAATAATTAACAGAAATTTATTACTTTACTTTGCTTTATAACATATTTTATTTTTATGTTATAATTGCACTTTACGTTATTTAAGAAGTCTGTAAATTAAACTACATAAGACTTAGTTTAAAATCATATACATATATATTGTTAAAAAACAAGGTGTGGGACTACTAGTTTAACAAAAAAACCAGGACGAATGAGAGGACTTAACTCTGTGTGAAATTTTAAATTTTCTTCTCCAATTTTTATTAAGCCTAAACAGCTTAAATTATAAGATCAGAGTTATTAAACCTCTTTGTATATTACAAATATATTATATACTATCTTAACATAGTCCATAACTGTACAAAAGGAAAAATATAGGGTCATCAAAATAGAAACACAAGGTCGCATAATATCACGTTATACCTACAAATCCAAAATATTTTGATAAAAAATATTAAGTTGTTAACATTAATAGATACGCCAGAAGACAGAAGACTAAGGATCTATTAGGATGCAATCCGAAAAAGAATCTACATTCAGCACATAAACAAATCACTAGGCTCTGTTGTGATCAGATCTGTTTTGGTTGAAGAGACATTGGAAACCTTAAAAAAACTAGGTTAAAATCTTAAAAAAAACTAAAAGCTTCTAAAATCTAAAATCTAAAAGCTTCATATTATCGGTACCAACACACATTAAAATTTATGACAGTCATAAATTACTAAAAAAAAAAGCCAGCGAAGAAACGCAAAAGGTCTGTTAAGGAAACTTTTAAACTTATATCAACTCTATAAGTAAAGAAATTCTAAAACAAACAGCGTTATAAGACTAAACCTTTCAAGAGACTTATAATAGTTAGCAAGAATTTTGTATTACTAAGTAACACAAGCCAGAAAATAGCTAAGACTTGGAAATTCAAAAGTCACAGTAATAAGATTCTGTATGTTTGGCTTTAAGTTCCGGTGCTAACTTCTATAGGTGCCCATCAAGCCATTCGTTTGAGTAAAAACAACAACATCGATTTCTATATTTAATAAGGTTCAAAAATATAGAAGAATTGCACTGCACTGCAATGAACATTAAAGTGTCATAATTTAAAAGAAATATGAAAATATGAGCCAAACAGTATTTCTAAGGACTAATAATACAACGTTGTCACAAAAATAATATTATTTAAAAGCTTATCAGCTTTGAAAAAGAAGCAGGGTTCGACTGGAACAACTTACCAAAGACAAGTAAATACTGAACAGCATTTCTTTGGAAGTTTTAATAACCCCGCGGAAGAATATTCCTTAATTCAAAGCATGTTTGGCACCACCTGATACTGTACGGAGCAAAAATGTAGTGAATGAGTTTCACTTGCGGCTCCTAACCGGAGGCGTAAATCTGATACCACGGTGGTCAGACGTGATACCAATTGACTAATTGAGGTTGGCTTCTTTAATGGGAATATCATGGTGACTGTGGTAAATACCCATAGTAACGTGAGTAGCATAACTGTATCTGTTACATTACTTTCAATTGCGTGATGTGCATTTAAGAACTGCAGCGATGTTAGATAGATCACACTTCTTATCAAAGTCTAAACTATATCCAACCGTATAGTTTCAATTGATACCGTCGGAATTCTTCGGAATTTCAATGAGGATGTTTATCGTCGTATTATAATAATACATGTGTTAAGGGCACCGTGGCGTTAATGGCGGATAATCACGTTAAAAACCTGTGGACAGTATGGGTTACGTATATCAGCAATAACAGTAGCAAAATAAATGATGGAATAACTTTGGTTTTGGTGAGAACTAACAAATTTAATGAATAGTTAGTTAGTTAGTACCGCCACACACTACTTCTATCGTAGTGTCAATCTGCTAAAAAACTGAACCAAACCGAATTTCCAATAACATAAATAAGATAAGGTAAGATCTGTCTTCCCTCCAATAGATGTTCTAACGAACTACGCAGCATATATCGCATGAATCATTAAATTACTATAATTTTTTAAAAACTAAATATAATAATATTGCGGTGAAAAAATAAATAGAAACTTACAAAACATGCTCAATTAAAAACATTTTTAATTTTAAAACATTAAAATATTAAATACACAACAGTAAATAAAAAAAAATATAAAAAAAAATATTGGATAAACAGAAGATCCAAGTATTTGAATTATGGATATATTAAAAAGCGTTAAGAATTATATGGACTCCTTCCAGAACCAAAATCTCTGTTCTTGGAGAAATCAAACGTAAAAACCCGGCTTATAAGAATAATCTACATTATTTCATTCGAGTAACGAGAATAGTAAGAAACATGGATAGTTAGGAGCATAGTAAGTCAGAAAATGAAGAAAATCGCCTACTTGAGAAATAAGCCATTAAGTATTCGAATTATTGGTACATTAATGAACGTTAAGCAATATATGGACTACTAACCACATAATCAACATATCCGTTCTTCAGAAACGTAACGTTGATACCCGGTTTATAAAAATAATTTACAATAATTCTCCAAGTAAATCCAAGTAACAAACTTGGATTGTTCAAGGTATAATGAGCGGAATCAGAAAATAAGAAAGATTGTCTACTCGAGTGGTGAGACATTCATTACAACGCTTACTAGAAAAATTTATGAGCGAAGCTATGCAAAAAGCGTTGAAACTACAAAATAGTGCTACTGCGCTCTGTAGGAAGTTATGGATTGGAAAAAGTAGGGAGAAAAAGTAAAAGTAGGGTAAAATACAGTTTGAAAAATAAATAAATGTACTTAGTTTGCTTTTAAAAAATATATTTATGAAACTGATTCTTTGCATGTTATATTTATTCGCTGAATAATTAAAAAATTATATTTACAACATAACATAAGAGCAATAACAGAGGTAGGAATATGAATATGAATACAATACACAGTGAATAACTTCAACATAAAATTGAATAGTAAACATAATATTTGAAAAAAATGAAAAAGCGAAATGATGGCATAACCAAAATGAAACTAAGGAATGCAATGAGTGTGCATGAGTATTTTAAGAAATTGTTTGTATTTATTAGCAATACAAATTTTTACATATACATGTGAACCAAAGATTCACAACATAAAAAAATACTCAATTGCAAATACAACTTCTAATAAGAATAAATAAACAAATGATATGGAAGCACATTGCTACTAAAGGTCAAATCTTAGTATGAACGCTTTTTGGTCAGTATTAATTTTGAGATACGTAATGCTATTACTCATAAATACACACAAGTCCACACATCTATATCAATATACATATTTAAAGAAATATATAAATGAAATTGTCAGCACTTAATTGAATTTATATCAGCTGTGGAATATTACCAAGAAATGACTTTTCCATTGAAATTACAACAGTACTGGTAAACATATTTTCATTAGAAAATTTTATCTAAATGTGTACAATTGAATAAACATATTTTGTCAACAATCAAAGATAACAAACACAAACAATAATGCATACAAAAAATAATTAAAATAATTAAACAGAATCGCAGCAAATGATAAATGTTGAATAACATAAAGATGGCATTACAGCTTACCTGCTTGTAAATGAGTGTAATTGCTGGAACGCTGTGACGTTGCGCCAAAATGACCGTTTATAAACGGTGTGTTGGCAGTGTTATTAGCAATATGACCATTTGAGGCAGGTGGTGGTGGTGGTGGTGCTGGTCGATTGAAAGGATTTTGTCGGCGTGGCGGCGGTTTAGGTGCAGATACAATTGTATTTATAGTTTCGCCAAGCATTTCTACATACACAAACATTGACAGCAACAACAATAATATGCAATAGAGACAACTATAACCAATTACATATATACAAAACGATTCAACTTACTATTACGTGAACCCTCAATCTCCTCCAGTTGTCTTTGTAGTTCTGCTACCATCAACTTTTTATACTCATACCCTGCACACGTAAGTGATTTCATCCAGGTTTCCATACTTTCCTGTGATTCCGCACATAGTATATAAGTGCGATTACCATTAAAAGCTATTTCAAAACAATACTGATCACTTTCTTCCGATAATTCTAGTTGTGCCAAATAAAAGGAAAATCAAACACTTCATTATACTAATCGAATTCATATGTCATTTTATTGAATACTCTTACCAATTGTACAACCTTCAACTATAATTAGTCCCAGGGGCTCCTTATCTCCTTTACGCTCAAAATAGAATAACAAATTTCCTTTCAGCACAAAATAACGTCGTTGAAATGCCTTGTTGACCTCACCTCGCTTACTAAGAAAACCTTCGCAGTCATACGGAGGACTTGTGGCAAAGACGCACAAATTTTTCTCATTAATTTTCATTGTTGTCAAAAGATTTACACTGCTCCACGCTTAAATTAACTCATTAATGCCAAATGATTTAATGCATTTTGACTTTCTTTGACGGATAAAAATAAAATATAAACATAAAAACTACCA